TTAATAAGCTTTAAACAAGTTTTTTAACAAACTGCTCTCTGCAAAGACAAAGTTTTCTGTATGCAGTTCTAAATAAAATACCTGCAGGAGAGGGAGTGGTTACTGTGGCTTTCTGAGACAGCCACCCTGAAAATGGCTCTGCATCGCTTTTTTCCTTATGAGCAACACCCAAGGTCTCGGGTCTTCAGCCGGCCAACTTCACTCGGGATGGACCTGGAGCAGGGAGCTCAGGTGGGAATTGGTGAGAGGAGGTGGAGCCCCACAAAACCACACTGTCCTGCCGAATGCGTCTCCACTGCTAGGGGCAAGGAGTTGCTGCTGGCTTCCCTTTGCAGTGTGGTAGCTCTCCCCTCAAGTTGTGTGTGAATGCACAAGAAAAAGTTGATTCTGGCTTCATGAAGCTTAAACTTTAAAAAAAGATCATTATAGCTGTTATTGTTCATACCACAATGGGTGTCCAACCCCAAACACCTTGATCCGTATGAAAGGGGCAAGAGAGGCTTTCCTGCCAGCGGCTAGACTTTTAGCCTTTAACAAATGCTCCAGGAAGAAGGCAGTGTAAGGCAGGTGAGGAGGAATGAAATGCTGTGTCTCCCAGGAAAAAACACGGCCTCTTTGCACTTTTCTGCACAGTTTTCAAGGTAGTCTCAAGCTTCAGGATGAAGTAAATCCTTTCTCTGCTCTTAAAGGATTGTTCTTGTGCAGCCCCAGAATTTTCCTGTAGGCAAATCCGAGACTTATTTCAGGATAGCTACCTGCAGGTATACTCTACTTATGGCTTATAAATTATTTGCAAATATTTGAATGCTCTGAGATAATGGGTTTTGGCTTGATCTACATGTGCACATTCACATCACCTTTTTTATCCTTTTTCCTGGGAAGTTTTCCTAGGGAGAACTGGCACATTAGAGATATTTGCTGCTAGCTTATCACTTCCATGTGTTGGAAAACTCCTCAAAGTGCCCTGCAGTTACTGTATTTGCCAGGGACATAGCTTGCACTGACCCCTGCACAGCTTTCGTTTTCTCTTTTTCGTTACAGTCGCTTCCCCTTTCTGTCTTGGATCTGCATGTGGAACTATGAATCTTTGTACAGTTTTCTGTCTTGAAACAAATGTGGATTCCATTTGTCCAGGGGAGCGGAGGGAGCCTGAGCCTGCGCCCATTCTTCTCTGCCTTTTGGCTCTTCATGTTGGTCCCCTGCCAAGGGCTAAGGGCTCAGAGAGAGGAGATCAGCAGACAGTGCCCACACTGCTCTCCAGCCTGCGCATCCCCCAGCCTGGTCCTGTCGCTGGGGACTGGCAGGGGTTTAATTAAAGATGCAGAGGTGTCGTAGGGTTTTTTCTGAAGCAATGTATTTCTATAGCTATTCTGTTTGCTACTGGAAATTATTGGTTAAAAAAAAAAAGAGAGACTTAAACAAGGAAAATGTTACTAGCTATGTAGAAGCCAGAAGCTTTCTGGCACACACAGGATCCTGACCATGGAGGCATTGAGTTAGATGGATGCGATGTCCTGCCCATTTGTCTGGTACCTTGTCTTCAAGTGTGGCCACTGCTACATGCTTCAGAGAATTCATCGGGATTCTCCAAGGGGCAATTAGGAGAATGACCTGCTGGTACAGGGGTTTCTGCCTGCTCTCCCTTTCAGGGAACGGCTGGCTCTTCGAGGCTTTACTCTCTTCAACCTGTCAAAGGCTTTACTGTCTTCTGCTAGCCTGGTGTTAGTTGTTTTGATTCATACGTGTGCCCAGTTTATTATTTTTTTGTTCTACAAAGGGCTTGGCCACACAGATACTTTGCAACGGCTAAGTTTTCATGAATTGTTTGTTGTTGGTTTTTGATACAGATAGCATTTCCTTTCCTCAGTATAAGCATGCTGCTCTTTTAATTGCACTGATGGGATGATGGCTGTTTCGGTGTTTATCTCTACCCCGTTATTTTTACATATTCATGTTTTGCTTGTTAGTTGAGGCCGCTCTAGACTAAGAGATGATCTCTTCATAATGATGGCTCTTATTTAAGTTGATGTCGTTAATTTAAACCCTAAAAATACAGGAGCGTGTTTTGGATCATTCTTTCTGTTGTTCATTACCATACATTTGTGAAATGTGTATTTCATCTGCTGTCACGTTCTCTCTTTACTGATTGGGGTGTTGGTCTCAAAAGCTCTTCCAGCCGCCTCCAGTACGGACTCAGCTAATTAATGCACCTTCTGTCAGCTCCCGCACCTCGCTGGTCACCTCGTGGTCAGCATCCATTTGGCTTTGCTAGGACCTCCAGGTTTTAATCCTTTTTATTAAGGTTATTGTTTGCTTACCTAAATATTTTGTGATTATTAACTACGTGGTTAACACCTCCACACCTGTACTGAGGGCCAGCTGCGTACGTCCTGCTTTGGGGAAGGAGGAGAAGCTGGAATATTTTGATCTTGTTAATTAGTACCTTTCACACCAATTTTTAGCTTAGTTTATTGTAAAAGACAGCAAGGAACCCTTTGCTTTGACTCCCTCTGAAACATAAGTAACTTTTACGAGGGAGGGGTTTCCATTTTCGCAGTTTCTCTCGTGGTTGGGGTAGTATTTTATTCCAGGCACCATTTTGCTGGTGGCTGAGTGATGATACATTTTTACTGTCGCGTGGACAGATGGAGAAGGGAAAGGAGAAGAAATGGCTGAGTCTTTAATTAGTCGTGCAGAGCCAGAGCATGCTTTTCCAGTGCGTCGGGGGTTTTATATAGGGTGTGGAGACTCTGCCACTCGATGGATCCAAATTAGCAAAATTGTGTATCCACCGCCAGGGTGTTTCTATGGCAACTGTCTCTCAAATCATATATACAAACAGACCTGGCGGGGGGTATCGCCTTCTATTTGGTCTGTAGGAAACCATAGGAAAAGGGGTGTTTCCAGGCTGCAAAAAGGCCTTGTCATGTAAATATTTTTTACTTTCTGGTGACTGCTATGAGTTTGGGGATCCTGCTCGGTGCTGGCTCAATTCGGAATCTGTTCATGTTATTGCCCACTGACTGGCTGCTGTTACTCCTGCTAGGTGGGAGAGTGATCACCAGGAAACTTGCACAGGGTTGCGAATGCGCAGTTACCAAGTGCATCCTTTAGCTCATAAATATTTTGCCGCTGCACGTAATTAATAGCCTATCTGCAGCCACGCAGGTAGACTGTATACTACGTGGCTTTTGTGCTGAGTGAACCAAATTATACATTCATTTCTTTTCCCCCTCATTCTTCACAAAACAGCAGAAGTCTGGATGCTCTTCTCTCACCAGCATACCTGGTGAATTAAGAGAAATTATCAACTTGATCAAATTAGCAGTGTGAGAAGAGCCAAAGTGGCTGTGACTCTCTGCCTAAGTGACTATAAATTCTCTCTACGTGTCACTTTTTCTGGTGGAAAAAAATGAATGAATGATCCATTTAGCCTACTGCCCTCTTTTTGAAATGTAGGGCAATTATTGTTATTTTTTGCTTGTCCAAAGTGAGGCACTGCTAAAGCATGGGTCATTTCAAATCAGAGGTGGTTATTTCTGTGGCCAGCAGTTCCGTGAGGACTCCTTTCTGTTTTGAGTCAGATAAAGGGGAGTTATCAAGAGGCCTGTGCTAAATTTTTTTCGCTTATGAGTATCTTGGATGTTCAATGAGTGGCAAGGTGCATAACAGTATGTGTCTAGAATAATTCCTAAGCTTGCCTAGTAGCTCCAAGGGATCGTGCCTCTCTTTGCCTTGGACTCGGCTTATGTAATGGGCCCACGAGAGACTGTGCACAGAAATGCTATGTAAAGGGAGGTAAGACTTACTACACCTGAGTGCACAACCTTTCCCATGGTGGAATAGAAGCTTATACATCTCTTCAGTGAAAATGGCATATTGTGCATAAATTACAGGACTGACAGAAATGTGCTCTAACCTGTAGAATGTGAAAAACATGTTAATTTTTGTTTGTTTTCTCCTCTTACAATCAGGCATTTGCTGAAAGCTTGGTGTGATTTATTCTTTTCTTTTTAATGAATTGTTAAAAATGTTTGAAAAGGCATTAAATCTTTCTTTCTGCTATTAATCTGTAAAAGGGGAAGGGGATTTTAAATGGCCTCTTAGTATATTGCTTTATAAAACTGCTGATTCTAGCAGCACCGGAATAGGAATACATACTAATGTAGGAAACACTGAAGGCAGTCAGAGCCTCCTGCATTTATGGAGGAAAAGACTAATAGCTCCATTTTAACAAGGCTCTTAACACTTTGGGCCATCAGCAGGCATTGAGTGAGTGAAATTGGGAGAGCTCCTGTGTGCTAAAAGCATTGAAGTTCACCGTTTTGTACCCCAGTTGGAGCCTTCCTGATAGAATTGTGCTCTCCAGCCAACTCCGGTTGCCATCTTGAAAACAAACCAAGTAGCGAGCTGGCATTTTGATGGAGTGCACTAATGCTTCACTTTTGAAATGGCACCAGAGCATGATAAATGCACTTAACTCCCAGCTGGATACTTAGCTTTGCAGTGGCATTAGGGAAAGTTTCTGGATTTCTGTTAAGAATGAAAGCAACGCGTGTTTATATCGTGTTTTATACTTGAGCAAAACACACAAGTGGAGAAAAACCAGCAAAGTTGGTACTAAGATGCTCGCTTTGATTCAACTAGTTATGCCACTGGAGTCAGAAGGGGTGTGCTTAATTAGATTACGTCCTCATGTTACTGAATTCTAGGAGGAGGGCCAGCCAGGGAAGGAGAGAGAGTATCCCAGCTAGCATGCAGGCGAGGAAAAGGCTCCGAAGATTGTACCTGTTCTGAGCAGCTCTTTGATATGAAAGCCTTTCTTGTTAGCAGTGATAAGATTTTGTATGGGATTTGGAGCTTCTTTGAGCCCCTGCCTTTCTTTTGTTGATTTTGGCATGTTGCAGCATCATGTGTTCTCTGGTTATCGTTCTGAGAGGCATTGTTAGTAGCTGGGCTGCATAATTGATCTTCATCTCTAATTACTCTCCTCTCCACAGGTGCCTGGAAAAGGTCCAGATGGGAGCTCGTACAATCTTCACTTCGAGGGGATGGAAAGGCAGTATGCGTCCCTACCCAGGTACGGCACCCTGCCTTGTACACACACGGTCTGATTCACTCTCCC